TGTATTGTTCTCAAACAACCTGCGTCTTAGTCTGGTGTTATTCTTTACCCACATAGGGAGCAGCATTGTTTAACAGCTCAGTGAATTGCTCAATACGAGCCACTGTGGACTGATAAGAATGGATTTGAATGAATGGACACCCCTTTAGGTGTGTGTCTTATTTTCCAGGGGCCCACAGAGGGGCATAACATTCAAAGCGCAAAGGATGTCTACATAACTCTGGATATAATTTAACACTAGATTTCTCAGCTAGTTGTAATAATACGTTTTGGTGAAGCTCGGAAGTGCCCACATGGCTGCTTGTAGATATCTATTTTTTATTTTTTAACAAGTGAAAAATAAAAAATTGATTAAATAATGAAATCTTATCAAAGAAAACATCCAGATATTGATATTGTCTTTAAAACATTTAAAGTTAAATTAAAGAAATCCTTAATTCACCAGAAATTTATTTTAAAGAACATAATAATATGGATGTAAAATCTTTGCAATGTTTTGGAGTCGGATAAAAATAAATATTGCAGTCTTAGTCAAAAATAAGAGCACATCTAAAGAACACAGTTCCCTCTGTGAAACACGGTGGTGGCAGCATTATGCTGTGGAGTAGCTTTTCTTCAGAAGTAACTAAATCAAATTATGAGCAGTTTTAAATAGAAATGACTCCAAAACTTGCCAGAGGTTGGTTTCAGTTTTTCTACATCATGTCAAGCCCCAGCATGCCACCAAACCAAAGAGGTTGTTGGATCTAACAACCATGTTATTGCAACTATTTTTTTCTAAAATTACGTTTTTTTTATTAAGCAGGTTAAAATCATGCTTAAAGTGGACTTTAAATGGTCAATTACGGTCTTAATTTTTACTTCAAAAAGCCCTGCATATGAACTGTGTATCTAGATGCAGTCTTCTTATTCCTTAATTTTTCTGTTGATCATTACTTCTCTTTTAAACAATGGTGCAAAGGAAACTGGATATTTGTTTCTGTGTTGGCCAGGAAAGACCTAATCGGTTCACATATAAAAAAGTAGTTGTTTATTTTCCCATTAACGATCAGCAATCGCAGGTCAATCATCTATGTAGCTTTATTGCTAAATGTTAGCATAAAAAAGCTTTCTACTCATTTTGATTTCTACAATTTCTTTGGTAAGAGTCTACCGTTTAAGAGCAAAACAGCTTCTACGTCATATACTGGGCTATGTTCCACCTCTGGCACCTGCTAAGGACATTTTGTTCGGCCTTGTGGAAAATGATTTCTATATAAACCTTACATTCCCGTAAATCCATGTTGCCAATAATAGTGCAAAAACATGGATGGCTATTGTTTCTCTCTTACAGTGAGAACTTGACTCAATGCCAGCCACAGTCGGCGGCATTGTCTCCGTGACTGAATATTTCCTCTTATGTCTGGATAAGCCACAAACAATAATGTCGGAGAGGTTCTTTACAATGAGCTGTTTCCGATTGTTTGGCAGCACCTTGTGCAAAAAGTTAAACTTAATTACCATGTGAAGCTGGATTAGATCCTTTTTTCATATGCTCTGTTTTTTAACTCACTTGAGCTAAACTTCAATGCTAAAAGTGTTGATTGGTCTGGCATACATGATGTTTATGAAGGCACAGTTGCCTCGCCATTTGCTTTGCATAGATCAAAGGAGTCAGATTCATGCACATGTACACTATATTGCCAAAAGTATTTGCTCACCTGCCTTGACTCACATATGAGCTTAAGTGACATCCCGTTCCTAATCCATAGGGTTCAATATGACGTCGGTCCACCCTTTGCAGCTAGAACAGCTTCAACTCTTCTGGGAAGGCTGTCCACAAGGTTTAGGAGTGTGTTTATGGGAATTTTTGACCATTCTTCCAGAAGCGCATTTGTGAGGTCGCACACTGATGTTGGACGAGAAGGCCTGGCTCTCAGTCTCCGCTCTAATTCATCCCAAAGGTGTTCTATCGGGTTGAGGTCAGGACTCTGTGCAGGCCAGTCAAGTTCATCCACACCAGACTCTGTCATCCATGTCTTTATGGACCTTGCTTTGTGCACTGGTGCACAGTCATGTTGGAAGAGGAAGGGGCCAGCTCCAAACTGTTCCCACAAAGTTGGGAGCATGGAATTGTCCAAAATGTCTTGGTATGCTGAAGCATTCAGAGTTCCTTTCACTGGAACTAAGGGGCCAAGCCCAGCTCCTGAAAAACAACCTCACACCATAATCCCCCCTCCACCAAACTTTACACTTGGCACAATGCAGTCAGACAAGTACCGTTCTCCTGGCAACCGCCAAACCCAGACCCGTCCATCAGATTGCCAGATGGAGAAGCGCGATTCGTCACTCCAGAGAACGCGTCTCCACTGCTCTAGAGTCCAGTGGCGGCGTGCTTTACACCACCGCATCCGACGCTTTGCATTGCACTTGGTGATGTATGGCTTGGATGCAGCTGCTCGACCATGGAAACCCATTCCATGAAGCTCTCTGCGCACTGTTCTTGAGCTAATCTGAAGGCCACATGAAGTTTGGAGGTCTGTAGTGATTGACTCTGCAGAAAGTTGGCGACCTCTTCGCACTATGCGCGTCAGCATCCGCTGACCCCGCTCCGTCAGTTTACGTGGCCTACCTCTTCGTGGCTGAGTTGCTGTCGTTCCCAAACACTTCCATTTTCTTATAATACAGCTGACAGTTGACTGTGGAATATTTAGGAGCGAGGAAATTTCACGACTGGATTTGTTGCACAGGTGGCATCCTATCACAGTTCCACGCTGGAATTCACTGAGCTCCTGAGAGCGACCCATTCTTTCACAAATGTTTGTAAAAACAGTCTGCATGCCTAGGTGCTTGAATTTATACACCTGTGGCCATGGAAGTGATTGGAACACCTGATTCCAATAATTTGGATGGGTGAGCAAATACTTTTGGCAATATAGTGTATAAACGATGTTGGGTTTGTTTCGGCCCTGCTTAAAAAAGAAGAAGAAAAAAAAAAAGAGACCACAACAAAAATATTCTGCGCTTACAAAAAAAGATTCCCTGTAATTCCTGTTTAAATGTGTGCACGCTTTAACTGTTTTGGAGAACATACTAAACAGCCTCTTCACATTGTGTTTGAAGAGACTTGCCTTTAAGGCAGAAAGAGATGCTTTCAAACCTGCACGGAAACAAGTCCTGTTCTTTGTGTTCTTATTCTTTTCGTCCCGGAGTGTGTTGACCTAATCCTCTCTAATGAGAACACCGTACTCCATTTACATCCCGACTTTTGCTCGGTTCAGAGAGGGCTCTTGTTTTTGATGATGGGGTGATGGGCTTAGCTTATTTTCTATTTGATCTGTACAAAGGGGCTGAAAAAGGGTTGGAAGTTTTCAAACTTTGATTAAATGCTGCTTTTGTTAAAAACCCATAAAGGTTATTACCAGTTTTATAAGAAAAAAACTGACTTTTCCTCATTAGTAAGGAAGTTTATTGCATTCACCTAGGAAAAAAAAAAGAAATTGACTGTTTTTTTTGAATAAACAAGATAACTTTTAGAAAAATGAATAAAAATGTTCAGTTTTTCAGGAATAACGAGGTAATGCTGCTGGATGTTCTTTTACTGATGGAATTTCAGATTTGTAAGCAAGGGATGCTTTTCCTTCATAAAGGTTTTGACCTATGCCTTGTTTGCTAAATTTAACTTGTCTTTGCTTTCTTTTGGGATTGAGACACTTGAAATGCTCTTGTCTTTTAGATATGTCTCTATGTATGTAGAAACATACAATACTGATAACACCATTTTAGTGCAGTATCTGGGCCCCGCCCGATACTGGTATCGGTATCGGTGCAACGCTAGTTTTAATTGATTAGCTTTATTGTAACTGCTAAAAAAAAAAAATTAGATGGAGGGAGCATTGATGCTATTTTATCTCCACTGGGTTCTGATTGAACTCTTTTTGAATAATTATGAGCAGATAAATATCAGACAGCTTGTAGATCTGAACCAAGGCCACACAAACTCATCTCGGTAGTTGGTTAAAAAATACAGTCCCAAAAGGGGTCATAAAATAGAAAATTAAGGTAAACCAGGATTTATGGATCTGCATGATGGCCTGGACGTGTTTAGTCTAAATAACGTAGGGGATGGAGTTTGTATTGAGCCTACAACTTAATTTTCCGTTTACAGTATAGTAAGTCTAAGAAGTCAGATGAGGCCATCACGTTTTCCATTGAACCCCCAGCTCAGTTTGACCCACAACCAGGACAGCATGGTGGACACTGAGCTACCTTTGCTCCCTTGGAGACGGGCCTCATGCGCGTATCTTTGTTTGCTCTACAGCGCACGCTGTGTCTCTGAGAGCCGCTTGGTTTGTTTTGCTTGGACACTCTTAATACTTAACAAATATAAACTTTGATACACTGTTTGATCTGGTTAGAGCCACAGAGGAACATTTCTTAAGATTTATTTGATTATTTTAAATCCAGTCTTTAACCTCACCTTTTCAGAATATTGGACCTCGTTAAAACACTCAAGGAATTAGTTTAGTCGCTTATGTGCTGTTAACTTGTTATAAACCTTAACCAATCAGCTGCTGGGAGAAATATTATAAACTATCCTGATTTAATGAATGGCAGAAGACTCAGTTATTTATTGCATTTTCAACTCTGTAAATCTATAGATTTGCACCATATTGAGGTTTTTGTGGCTGAGATCAGCCGATGCCAGTACCGTGCTAGTGCACTAAATGCTCTAATGTATTTATAAAAGAATAACCAAGTAGGCCAAACATAAAGGCAAACATGTGAAGGAAGAGATACGAAAGTGTACATCTTAATGAAATAACTTCTACATATGATCTATTACCATATTGAACACCAGCCTGGAGGAATCATGAAAGTATGAAGTAAGATGAAAATGTGATGGTGTAAGGACTCTGATCTTTGTTCTGTTTACACAGAGGGCCATATTTGCTTTTAGTGATTGCCACATGCAGTTCCCACTTTATGATGGGTTTCTCTCCTATCTGTTATCTTCTGCAGCCTTGGTCGGGGCCCTTGCCATGGGGATGATCTTCTTCTGCTCTCCTGTGGTCAGCATGTTCACAGACCGCTTCGGCTGCAGGAAGACCGCCGTCTGCGGGGCAGCAGTGGCTTTTATAGGGCTTCTCACTACATCATTTGCAAAGTAAGACGCTCCTGGTGACTCTGTCACTCACAAGTATCTCATTAACCACGCTTAAACACAACCTCAGTCTGGGAAAAAATGCTTCTCAGCCCTGACATGACAAAAAAAGGGCTATTCACACGGCATGGCGAGACATGGTGAATCCATTAAAGAACGAAGAACAAATGAAAATGGTCAAAAAGAGATGTTTGCTGAAAGTATCATCGAAAAATATTTAGCTTTCTGTTTTGTTCCAAAAGTACAGCTTAGTGGGAGGAGCCTGCTCAGTCAGTTCATAGCTGAGACAAAATATGGATTTAACAAGCTATTACTTAACATTTTTACATTTTTATTTCCTGTCAAAAATTTTGGCCACAATGCTGCAACTATGCCAATGTTCATACATACTCCTACCATACCTACAATTAAAACATTTTATTGATAGGAACAAACACATTTTCGATTATTTACAAGCTTTGATGATGTTTTTGTCTCTTGCATTTAAATCTTTTTTCTTTTCTTTGTGCTTGCAGCTCCCTAATCCTCCGCTACTTCACATACGGGATACTGTTCGGCTGTGGCTCCTCCTTCGCCTTCCAGCCGTCCTTAGTAATCCTCGGACACTACTTTCGGCAGCGGCTGGGCTTGGTCAACGGCGTGGTGACGGCCGGAGCCAGCCTCTTCTCTATGGGACTGCCTGTGTTTCTGAAAAAGCTGGTTGAACCTCTGGGTCTAAGCAGAACCTTCCAGATTCTCAGCCTCTTCATGCTGGTGCAGGCCCTTCTAGCATTAACATTCAAACCCTTGCTCCCCATTAGGGGAGGCATGGGCCCTCCAGGGATGGACCCGGGCCCTGCTGAATCCCAGACCCAGGCTACGGCTCAGGGGATGAGCAAGTGGAGCAAGGCGGTTGCTGGGGTTAGGAAATACTTCAACCTGCGTGTGTTTTACATTGTGACCTACCGTGTTTGGGCATTTGGAGTAGCAACCGCTGTGCTAGGATACTTTGTGCCATATGTCCATCTGGTAAGAGTTTCCCACATGACGGCCTCTTGTAGCTTCATAAATTAAAAGTGAACATCAGCCTCATGCCTTAATCCTAACATGTATTTTATTGGGATTTTATTTGATAGACTGACACTATACTAAACTAACAAAATAGCTTTCAACTGGGAGAAAAAGGATGCATGTTTATTTAAAAAAAAAAATAAAAATCTGAAAAGCAGATCGATATACCAATATTTTAAAGAGCCCCCTTTTTGCTCCTGTTACAGCAGGAAGCCTTTTGCTTTTGTTTCTACGTTTTAAACTACTAAAGTAGATGTGCATGATCTAAATGTGCAAACCTGTTTACACGCACAGAGCCGATCTTCATATGAAGTATAAAGCGATTTGGGTGTGCAGTTCAGCAGGCAGCATGTGTAAACCTATTTTGCAGGTGAGCCTTTTTTCATATGCAGATCAGGTGTTTAATGACCAATTCGACCAATTTCAAACAACAACAGAAGAATAAGATTAGTGGGGAAAAGTACATCTTCACAAAGTTGTTCTGTTTATTACAACAGAGCTGCAGACAATCTTTATGCAAGTAAACCAAAACCGGGAGCTTAATTATTTTGGGATATCAACAGCCACTCAGTAAGAACCATTACAGAAAGTAAAGGGAGATGCTAGAGGTGACTCCGGCTGTTTAGAGCCCAGTTTGCTGTATATATGATGGTGGCTCCTTCTCTGTCAGGTTTGCAGGTTTTATGATCAATTGATTTTACTTTGGTTTGTTGACCTTTGACTTACTTTTATGCAAGGCTTTTTATTTACCAGCCTTTCATGGAGAACTGTGGAGTACACTACTAACAGATTCTCCCACTGAGGCAGCTCCTCCAGAGCTCCTCCAGAGCTGGCTCAGTGCTGTACACTATAAATGTTCAGAGGATGAATACATGAGACGATCCATGCAACACTTTGCAAACATTAGGGTATACATTATTTTAAAATGAAGTATAATTTCTCCTCTTACTGATTGTTGGTCTGTCACTTCCAAAAACAATGGTTGACTGTATGTAAGTCACTAAAAAGTCATATGACTGTTGTTAAAAATGTCTTTGCTTCCCGTAAAGATAGATATTTTATCATTAAACGACTTCTGTGTGGTGAGATTTTAGAGATGAATTCAGCTTACATCTTTGCACTGCTGACTGCTAACCTTTATGAATTTGTGCTGTGCCACATTGGTATAAAGCATTAATTTCTCCACACCTTCCACAACTTTGTTTACTTTTAGATTTCCTTCTGCTCTCAGAAAATAAAATAGATTTTTTTTTTTTTACTGAGAGTATATAACTGTCCAACAAACGTCACTGTCCCTGATCGACTTAAGCTCTTTAGCTTTTAGCAATGATACCATTGGATTATGTGACTGCAAAATATGACTTTAAAGCATATCTAGATGGATTAGATAGTAAGGGATGGGAATGTAAAAGTTTTAGTGCAAAGCTGTGAAGTTGATCTCCCTCCATCCAGATGTCTGATGTTCCAGCTCCGGCCTCCCTCTGACCAGCCTGTTGTTTCAGGCCTGGGCCCAGATGTAAACACAGCCCCGGCCTTTGTATGGCTCCACCACCTCAGGAAGCCTCTCCTGTATGGCCTCTCTGTATCCCTAAACATGCTTATCCTATGGCCACCGAGTGATGCGGAGCTCTTCAAAGGCGAGCAAATATTTCACAAGGACCAGGAGGCTCAAGAAAGACTGTGATGAATATGCACTGGTTCTTCCTGTGCAGCTGTTCCAAAACTCTGTTGCTCAGAACATTTTGTTTTTGTAAGACCTTTATTTGGGGCTTGGGATGAACTTCTTTCCACTGAGATGTTCACAGATTGTTTCAGGTCAAAAATCGAACAGAGACTCGTGTCACATATGAATGTTATCTTCTTGCAGTTTACAGTTTTTTTTTCTGGTCTTTTTCAGATAAAGTTTGTGAAGGAGAATTTCAAGGAGAATGAAAAGGAATGGGTGCTTCTCGTCTGCATCGGAGCTTCATCGGGGGTGGGACGGCTCGGCTTTGGGAAGATTGGAGACCTTATTCCTGGTCTGTGGAAGATCTACATGCAGGTGAGAAATTGGTGCAACATGAGAGATGCTAGAAGTATTTTCTGATTTCAACACTGAGATGTAACATTACCTGCATGGTGCTAATTTGCTCACCTAATCACTTTTTCAGATTTTGCCACTTTAAGATATTACATATATATATATATATAATATCAGATATTACATATTATGTTATGAACAATAACAAAGTAGCAATCTTATAGGGAACTGATAGAAAAACATATCTTTGCATTTTATACAGCATTTAATACAGCTGACTGTATTCTGAGGTATATTTCTGCACACTTCTCACATCCAAAGACAGGAATCTTTGCCTGTTCTTACTCTCATAGTAGATTTGAACCAAAGGCCACAGTAGCACATTAATACCCCATTATCTAAACTGCATCATCATAGCTATTGCTGTTTTTAAAGAAATATCCTGCTACAACTGGAACCATGCCTCTTTGTCTAAGAGTGCCCTGTATTTAACTTCATGTATTCTTCTACAAAGAACGGCTGCTTCACTGTCCGTGTTCCAAAAGCATGATACTGCCTCCACCATGTTTCACTGTGTGGGTGGTTTATTCAGGGTGTTGTTTTTAAACACTTAAAGGGCCTGATCTCTGAAGAATCAAAATAAGTAAGGTTAAATTGTGCAAAAAAATAAAAAACATTGTGATTGCAATGAGTGGCCACGTTTCAGTTGATCTACAAAAATTACTGCAGAAAATGTTGGCACATCAATGCAATGATTTCTTTTATGCATTTATCCAGTTCTGCGTAAATGCATGCCTACATTTAATTCATCTTTTAATTCATGCATGCGTAGAAATGCGTAAAATCAATGGTAATATCGATAACTATTATTGATTGTGACAGTATCTCAAAGTGATACCAATAAAAGTTTAAAAATAACGAGAAGAAAATAAACCAAGTTAAATATAAAGATAAGAGTCAGGCAACCTTTATAAGCTGGCTTTGTTAGCTTCTTCCTGATTCCCCTCTGCCAGAGTCAAGTCCTGGAAAAATTGAATTGTCAATACCAATACCTGACATGATGTGCTAGAAAAACATATATTGCAAAACATTATTGCAAAACATACACAACATGACTGAGCTTTGTACAGACACTGTAAAAAACAATGATGGTATTAAGGATGTTGAGATTTATTTACTTTTTATTAAAACACACTTCACAATTATGTCTTGGTCTTGGTTTAACACTAGCCTGGGTGCCATTCCGAACTTAGTCCCGCCCACAAAGTTTGAGGTCGGGGAAGTTCGGTCTGGCTCTGCTCCATAGCGCGAGTATTATCGCCCACTGTCAGGCGATCCAATCAAATTGTCAGGGCGGGCTTTATACGATGATGGACAGATCACCAACAGTCACGTAATCAACCACGTGACCAATGTGCGCTTGGGTGACAACAATAATGGCTGCCGCTGGAGAGTTTAGGTGAGTAGATTCTGCTATTAGGTCTGTTCTAGAAGATATCGACAGCAAATTAATTTTAAAAGAGGAACAGAGAAACGCGATCAAGTCTCATCTTCTTATTATAGGCGTGCAACTGCACGCTTTGATTTTTGTGGACAACAACTATGCATCACTTAACATACGTCACGCACTCCGTTGCTCTTATTGGTTGTAGGTCTTTCCAATTGAGTGCAGAGGCATTTTTTTTCCTGGTTCGTTCGAAACACGCCCCATAATCACAGCTCTATGGAGCAGTATCAGACTCATATTCTTACTAGAATTGAGTCGGACTACGTCAGGCTAGTTTAACACATTAAATCAAATAAATTCAAGTTAAAGAAGGTGAAGGATATTGCAAGATACCATAACGGGAATGTATCCTTAAAATAAATGATTTAATACAATAGTTTTTTTGTTTTATTTTGCTTTCTCTTTTAAGATGAGAAGCAGCTTTGCTGTTACCAAAGAGTATCATCACTGCTTATTGGCACTGATTGTTTGCTTCTTAGAAAACAGGAGGGGGCAAAGGAAGCATGCGGATACAAGCAGGGCTTATTTCTCCCTGCTGTATACACAGGAATACAACATTTACAGATTGGCTTGATCTGGCAGAGACTGAGTCACAGGCGCCATTTGATAATAGTAACACAAAACAAACCGGTCCAGGAAAATTCAATCAAGGTATAATTTAACTATTTTAAATAAATATTTAACACAATTATTTGTAAAAACATGGAGAACCATGGAGAATTTGGTAATTTAATTTAAACTTGGACTTTAAGTATAATCAATATACATTTACAATAATCAGGAGGTCTGGAACATTTAAGAAAAGAAGAAAGAAAACAAGAAAAAGAAAAAGACACGTTCAGCCATAAAGTAATTTTTTTAAATCTTCCCATATGGAGAAACCTTCAGGTCAGTGGAGAAAAACTTTGAGCTATTTGGCTGAATTGACTAGATGTGCATTTCAAGGACTACAGGAAGGCTTAGGAAACTGTACATTACTGTAAATCATGATAGTGTTAGCATCATGCTGTGGGATTGGTTTACTGCCAGTGCTACATTGCTCAAACACTGACCTCACCATTCTTTATCTGCTCCTCAAATAAGCCAGATGATTGATTTGAACATGGATGTTTCACCATGACGAGCCCAGGCACACACTGTACATTTACAATTATTTATCACTTATTTATTTAAATGTTGAAATCCTGCTTTGTCTGTAAAACCACCCGTTTGGTGCCCTCCTCAGGTTAAAGGAAAATTACAGCATCTGATATGTGCCCAGCTGAGATTATAATGTAATTTAGGAGAACTGATGTTAGCTGCTGTATTCTGGACAGTGGTGGTTCACTCAGGGACTGACAATAAATGTAATGATTTTGCTCTAATGTAAAATTAATAAATTGTGGTTTTCTTCATTTTGAAAATTAATAAAAAAACTAGTCTGCATCATATTTTAACTTTGACTGTCGGCAGAAACAGTGCAACACTGTAAAAAATCCTTTTCGTCGAAGGTGAGGATGTGATGATAGAAAAGTAATATGCAAAAAGTTTTTCAGATGATAAAAGAAAACATGCCAGCAATAAGCACGGTAGAAGCAGCTTTGCAATGAAGAGCCTTTTCTCCAGGTTAAAAAAATATGAACTGAAAAATACATTTCCTACAAACAAATCTTCCTTAAGTCCTAAGGCAATAGTTTAATATGCTTCAAAAAAGCGTGGTATGCGTCCTTTAAAAAGGTTTTTGAGTGAAAATAATTGGTTTAACATATTTTGTTTTGACATCACCTTGCACAGACATTAACATCACAATGAACTACCTGAAGAACTTCCCAATAATACCTTTGAGGACGTTTACATTTTTATCTGAGGTGTGCAGGGAGCAAGTAAAGGCAGGCCAGAACAGGAGGTATGTCACTTTTTTGGTCTTCATCAGCAGCCTTGCTGCAACAAAAACTAAACAGACTGAATGCAAGCAAAGGAGGTTTTCTTCAAAAAACTAAACAGACTGTTTTAGTAGTCAAGGAAATGGTTGCTTGAATATATGCACTCAACTGGGAAATGTTTCCTAAGTGATAAAAGTATCTTACATTGATTGTCAAAAGACAAGGAGCTGTGAAAATTGACAGCCAGATTTGTAATGCTACATTTCACAGCTGAAACTATAAAGAGGAAATCATCGGGGGAAAATGACGAGATTCAGTGTTGTTGTACAGCCATAGTGTTTAGACAGTTTTTAGGTCTTAAAATAGTCAAGGACTTTGCTGATGGCAACTAAAACATATTATTACTTCACACTTTACTGCTGGAAATTATACAAAATATATTTTGTTTTATGCAAGCCTTTATTTACAATTTAAAAAATGTTGGAACTGCATGAAAATCAATTCAATTAATTATGTAAAATGAATTAAGCAATAAATGAATATTGGAATTAAAGTTACAGTGTGTAACTTTTAGCGACATCTAGCGATCAGGCTGCAGACTGCAGCAACATGAACATCTCCCCCCCACCGCTTCTACCCCCCAACAGTAAGGCGAGCGTTACGGGACAAAATGTCTTCCAACACGTCCGCATCACCTACCTTCTCAAGTGATGAGGTTTGTTTACATAGATTATTTTACAGATAATATTTCATTAGTCTGTGTAGGGTATAGATTTCATGTAGACTTAAGATAATAAATATACCCGTTATTTTTTCTACATCGTTGTGACGTTTTGGCGATCTCGCAATCGCTAGTTTGTTGGTTCTGCGCTGCCGTAGCGCAAAGATGTCTGCCTCCATGGCTGCGAGACCCGCTCCTTTGTAATTATAAATAACGAATTCTAAGGCAACACAAATATTAAGGTTAAGAGGCTGAGCTCGTAGATGATGATAAATAACATAGTTATGTATAATATATTACATTTCTGACTGTATATCCCTGTAATTATTACACACTGTAGCTTTAAGTAAGTTTTGTCTTGAAACCTATAAAAGATGTTTTTTATGTTCTCAGTTAAGTTCACTCTTAAAGAATCAGGAGCTTTAACATAAAGAGATCTTGCTGCTTTTCCTGTGTTCCAGGTTGTTTCCTTCATAGCTCTGGGCCTGATGTCCATGATGATTCCTCAGTGCTCGGTGTTCGAGGCGCTGGTGGTGGTGTGTGTGTTCCTGGGGCTCTGTGATGGCTGCTTTCTCACCATGATGGCTCCCATCGCCTTCGAGCTGGTCGGTCCCATGCAGGCCTCACAAGCCATAGGTTACCTTCTGGGCCTTATGTCCCTTCCCATGATGGCGGGTCCACCCATTGCAGGTATCTGTCCGCCTTGTTTCTGAGATTTAATATTTCTTCTGTAAAGAATTAAACATTACAAAATCTTAGCTGACAAATGTTCACTGGGAAAACTTTCAGACAGGATGTGAGAAGTAAAGGTGAAGTGGGACAAAAGCCTTGCAGCTCAGATTGCTGGGACTGTAGCCAACTGCAGGCTACTCAAAGCATTTGTGTTGAGGGTAAAAGCACACAAGGGTGAAAGTCATCACTTTACCATCATAACAAAAGATGCTTCTTTCATTGTTCCTGAAAACGAACCACTAAACACTTCTTTGATGACTCAGGCATGGCCTTGGCAGCCTAATTTATTTATTACTTACTCCTGTTACTTCTCCTTTGCTGAAATACACACAATATCTCTGCTAACATACCAAAGCAGAAATAGACATAACAGATGCCAAAGTATAAACAATACAAGAAAGAACATACATATACAATGTCTGCTTTTGGCTGGACAAAGATTTAGTCTGGAAGGTTGCAATTATTGCAGCAAGATGCTTGAAATAGTGTTCAGCAATCTCGTCCAGTTACCTTATTCACTCCTGACACTTATTGCAACATAGGTGCTGGTTGTTTAACCGGTTAACCTTTAGTGTGCAAATGAGCAAACCATTGAAAAAAGATCCTGAAAAGCTGAATAAAGCTTTTCTGTCGTAAGAAGGGCCTTTTTTAGATGCATCCCTCTGAGCTTGGGTGCATCTGGGACAGAAAACTGTCTAACAGATCCACATTCAGCACATAGTTCAACAGGAGAGAGGCTGCTAACAAAAAGAAAATTCTGTAATATAACTTTTAAATGCTAAAGAGATGTTCCGTTCATAACATTTTCAGCTCAAATCTAAACATTTCACATAAGCAGAGTCCTATAAATGGGAACATTAGGGCCAGCAACAGGTATGGAAAGCCTTAAGGGCCACTAATTTATAAAATAAAAAGTGTCTGCTTTGTTCTTTTTTAGAAAAAAGCAAAGCAGACACTTATGAACTGCTGCACTTTATGGAATGGAAAAGTTCATTTTCTTTCTGAAAGCTGTACTAAATGAATTTTTTTGTATACAGTCTGTGTATACAAAATGACAGTAAAAGTTGTGAAAGTCTAAGTCTAGATTATTAAAACTTAAGTGGTTTAAACATATATATATTTTTTAAATATAGACCACGAGAGCCTTGAAGAAAAAGAAAGTAAGAAAAAAAAAGCCTACCATACTTTCTAGATTCCTATCTGACTTAATATTTCTCTAATACTCTAAAAACATGAGGGTATGTGCGTGTAATCTGACTAGACGTAAACATTTCAAATGTTCAAGGAGTATTAATATTTTTCCATGACACTATTTGGGAAAACGGAGGCCTTTCTAGGCTTGCTTTTCCAAAACTTTCCAAAGCTTTTCCAAACCTTCAAATAGATTATGTTTAACATTCTCTCGTGGATCTTCTGCTCAGGTCTTCTTCATGGCTACTTCGGTAACTACACAGTAGCGTTCTCCCTGGCTGGAGTACCTCCTATGGTTGGGGGCGTGGTGCTGTTCTTTGTGCCCCTGATCCACCGCAGGATCCAGCGGAAGCAGGCATCGCCCGAGGAAATATCTACGACTACCCACATGCTGCCCACCGCCCCACCTATTGGGGAACCCAAGAGTTGCTCCAATGGAGACATCCTGCCTGGTTATACCGACGTAGAGACGCACATCTGACTCACGTCTCACAAAGGTACCTCCCTTTTTTAAACCTGCAGGTTCTAATAAGTATAATATTTACTGTATTTGTCTAATATTTGGTTGTCTTTTTGCTTTTCCCAGGGATTCCGCCCACCAGCACTTTCCTTCTGCTCAGATCATCTCACCTTTGGTCTTCACTCTAGTTTACCTTTAATCCAAATCGCTGCTGGTTGTAACATTTTTTTTTCTGTGCAAAGAAAAGTTCAGAAATTAGTTCAAGTTTATAACCTGTACAGAGGGCCGGAAGATGTGAGTGCGGTGCTGGATCATCTAGAACCATTTTCTAATGAATCTATGTAGGAAGACAAACCTCCAAATGGGAGAAATTACTGACACATCTGCAGTTTTTACAGCATTTTTTTATGAAAACATTGCATTTTTTCTTTTTCTTTTTTTTAAAGTCCTTAATAGGATGAAAAAGCTAAGCAGGAGTTGCATTTATTTGATTATTATTTGTAGTACCTCACACATAGAGGATAGGAAACATGTCTTTTATTTAGTTTGTGTTGCTTAAACAGTCTTACCATTTTGTAGCGTTATAAGCTCCGCTTTATCCTGCAGCTTTTGCTCTCTGCTAAACATACTCATCTTTCCTAAACCTGATCAGTAAACGGGCTATTCCACTCTTAGATGAGCCACTAAACACGATCACCTCAAACTAGCCGCAGACAACTTTTAGGTCCTGACCTTTTTGCCGTGGAATAACAAACATCAGTGGAACGGTTTGATCTTCTCATCCAAGGAGAAAGATGCGTAGATCTGGCAGCTTTTAGTATGTAAAGTTTTTTAATTACTTCTTTCATATTAGTTTTAATCTGTTCCTTCTCAGTACATGGGTACAAGTAAAGACTCACAGTCCAAACTAAAAAAGGTTGAGCATCTGCAGCTAGAGTTGATGAAAAGTAGAGAGACATCCAGACATCAAAGCTTCAGTTTTCTTAGCCTTTAACATTTTAAAGGGTGCTACACCGGTCTACATCTACAATGTTTGAATCTATACCTTTTGCTCTGAAGCTATTAGTTATTAATTGTACCTTCTATTAGGTTTTTTGCTTTAATATCAGAGGCATTCAAAGAAAGTTGAACTTAAAACATTAACTTTTTTACTTTTTCACAGGCATCAGTTACCTTGAGACCACTAAGCAACAATTAAAAATAACTATAATAGGTCAGTAGAGTAGTACTAACTTCCTATAGTGGGACAGTTCAGAGGATATAAAGTATTTCTCAATGCTCTTTAGGAAGGTTTAACAGCTGGGTCACACAATGCTGGCACAGTCACTACACAGCCAACATCATCTATACAACTATCTCTATCCAGTAATGTTAAGCTTTCCATAGAAATGCTCATCGCATCAAAGAATCTCCCAAAAACACTCTGGTCTTGGTCTTTCTTTTCTTCTTATACTCTTCGTAGACACTTTTTCTCTTGCAACCCTCGGCCATTTTCAAAGAACTGCAGTGACAAAGGCTAGCTTCAATGACTGACTGAAACCGTAGCTCACCACGCCTATACACCTAAAAGAGCGCATAAGCCGGAAACATCTCACCAGAGTGATTGACAAGTAGGAGAGCCAGTTATTTTGATGATCCACACGGAAAAAGAACATCCTCCTCTATACCTTTAACCTGTAATTTTATGTTACAGGTTTTTTATATTCCCCCCTGCAATTTTTTCCACTAATTGAAACGTCTTCAAATACACATTAAAATGGATTCAACACACTGTAGTAAACAGATAAATGGAGGCAGAAGATGTCTTTCATTTATCAGTGCACACATTCAGAAACACACAGGAGCTCTTTCAAGCTGGGCACCGTTTCATGCACAACACCTGTCCCATCAACCAGGAATCAGAATCAGAAATACTTTAATAATCCCAGGGAGAAATTACTTTCATTACATGACTCCATATGTAATAGAGTAACTATAGGACCAGTTTGATATAACAGAATTTTATAACAAATATAAAATTAGTGGGTCCCCGCTCCATCTCACCATCAGTTTGGGGGTCCTTGGCCTGGAAAACTTTGAAGACCCCTGCTTTACATTTACAAGCCGTGTTATATTTGTGTTTCAGGATGAGGATATTTTTCAAACTCCTCCAATTTCATTTATGTATGTGAAATATGTTCACATTTTTAGATTTTATGCTTTGTAAATATAATGATAAATGTCCTTTAAGCAGTCATAAAAACTTACAAGTGATGCGTTGTCAGGTTCACTGACAGCCAGTTTATGTTGGATCGGTGAGCAAATGTGACAATGAGAGCTGGAAAAACAGGATATAGAGTATCTTCGTTTAAAAGGTGACCCTGCAGAAATGTGCTGAACCTCACAAAACTTATATGTTGTTTATTTATTTTGACTTTTTTCAATTTTGTTGAGATTCTGATCATTTAAATTATCATAAAGTATTAGTAAGGTCTCTGAAAAGCTCAACCTTAAAAAATCTGACACCCACACCAGGATCCAAAAGTTGTGATTCAGCCTGTCTTCTAGCTGAATGGCTAATGACAGCTGACTGTTGCAGTATTATCTATTAGTTATAAAGTAATGGCTGATTAGAATACGCATGCTGATGATGGTAAACTACTTGTAATGAATCTGCCAAACAGGCCAAGCTTGGGCCGTTTTCTAGATAATTAGATTAATTTGCTGCTTTTCATCAGTCTCACTCGAGGCCACTGATTAGTGCTCATGCAGTAATGAAGCACAGCATCACATCCCTGGTGAACCCAGCAGACCAATTTGCAGTGCTGCAAAGGAGAGTTTAATGTGAAGCAAAGCTGCAGTAAGACTGAAGATAAACAAGAAGAGGAAAAGGTGAAGTGGGGAAAAAAAGAATGCTTTTGCTCCATTATTGCTTTGACATTTTGCCTATCAGATCTTCTGTTACAAAAGTTTAGAGCCTCATTTCTAAAGAGGTTCTCTGGTGGCTTTGCCATAGGACTGACAGCTCTAGAACACCTATACCTCAGTAATCAAATTATCCTCAGCAATCCAGTTGAAAGTCATCCTGACTTTCTCTCCTTCTAATCTTTTCCTATTAATGTGGTTTATTAATGTTTTGTGTAATTGATCATGCCAAATTTTTGCTTCCATGCGCCAGAGTTGTTGGGTTTGTGCTTCCTCCTGACCGTGCAGCGTTCATTAACTCCTACCTTTCACCTTCTTATCCACAGATTTTTTTTTTTACAGCTGTGCGTCTGTAATATAGCGTTTTTTTTCATGTCCTCATTGTAAATAAGTATTTAGATTAACCTCAAATATCCTTAAATGAATTAACAGTAACATTTTGACTGTAAATACAAGAGATCAGACTAAATTTTGAAGATTTTTTTTTTTTACTTTGGGCTAATTTTTAACTGAGTTGCTGAATTTTCAGCTATGCATCTATTACTTAATCTAATTATATCCGTTAAAGATACAACAGAGTTTTCCTGCTGCAGAATCTTTAAAAGCTGCAGCTCGACTTGCATAATTAAAAAAGCCCCTATCATGAATTGTTTGGTTTTAATTAAAATAATTACAGAAGTATTTTAATATTTAGCTATGCACTGAAATGAAATATTCTACTATTGTTAAAATCCTGAATTAAACGTTGCACTTAGTGATCCCTGTATGTATCGTAGGGACTTTTGATTTGTAAGGCCGAATTGAATCCTGTGGTAGCCATTTAGGAATACATCTGCCAATCAATAGAGTTGTACAGATCTATGTTAATACAGAACAATTAGTGTTTGCATTTCTTGTTTTTTTTTAAAGAGGAAAACCAATTGGTGATGCAAGCTTTAACCTGTGAGAAACCTATGAACAGAAATCTGCCTTATATAAGTGAATCATTAGCTGGTAGCCAAGCTGCCCACCAGATCAAGATTTTACATTGGGTTTTGAAGAATCCCTGAATATCATTAAACAATGTGTCTTTTTACAGATTTTGTTTTCACTGAAGCTCCCAATATTGATATGTATTTCCTGTAGTTTTTATGTCAGAACTAGTTAGGTTCATTTTTTATGCCAACTACTGTAGATTTAAGATGGAAAAAAGTTTGGATCTCATTTTTATTGGTATTTGATTATTATTTGTTGCTGTTTGCATTGATACTACTGGCAGTAGAGAGTCGCTGCGGCGGCGGCTTGTTAATGAAGATTAGAGCTAATTTATAACGGTGAAAGATGTGAATGGATGTACAGTAGTGATGTTTGGAGAAAGCACTTGGATGGCTGCAGGGTGTGTGTTTTGATCAGTTAATCTGCCAAAGTCTTTGCCTAAGCAGCATCCCTGCTCCTGATCATACAGTGCCTTAAAATTGTGTTCATGCTTTTTTTTTTTACAATACAAATGAGAGATCAGTGTGTTATATTATGATTTTGCATCATAGACCAACAGTTACAAGCACTTTTTGCATTTCTTTTTCCTTCTGTACCAGCTTTCCTCACCTGTCTTTATGCAGATTAGTTCAATCTTAGTCTGGCTTTTAACTTTGACATCCTGGAGCCTATTTTCTCTAATGGATTTAGGTCAGGACTTTGACTTGGCCGCTCTTAACACATTGATGAGTTTCAATCGTGTTAGAGAAGCCGCCCACAGCATGCCACTGCCACTGTCGTGTTCGACAGGGGTTTATTCAGGGTACGGATCATTCAAAGGAACCATTATGCTTCAATCTAAGCCATTGTAGTTTTCAGGCCCTTTCATTTTATCCCCATATCTTATATTCTCTGTCCTGGCAGATAGCAACCCCACAGCATTAAGCTGCCATTACCATGTTACACCATGAGAAGGGTGTGAGAGGAGATGTTTCATAATTTAGACCAGTGATTTCATTTTCCTCCAGAATTAGAGCATTCCTTCTCTGGCCTGTCAGTTTTAATAGATATTCATCTTAAGGTAGACTTTATCTGGTGCTATACTACTTCAAGATATAGGTGGGATCTTTTTACTCATTAGGTGTGGCTTTAAAATTATGACACAGCCATCTTCTATTCTGTGGTAGTTTCTGTTGGTCTCTCATGCAAGATCCTATTAAAACACTTTACAGTTTGTGGTTAAAGTAAGACAGTAGTAAGACAGTGTAAGGAGTATGAATACGTTTGTAAAGCACTGTAAATATTTATTCAGTACTTTAGGCCTGTTCTGAAGTAGATACCCACAGTAGGGCCCCTTGTGTTCCACTTTAATGACTAACACTACTAGGATTTTTATGTAATCATTTTGAATGTTGTTTTTTTCTAATCAAAAACGTTCAAGCTTCCTTTTTTTCCATGGAGAAACGTCTTTATTTCTCTCCCATGTTGCTTTCTTTATATTATACCGACTCATCGTGTGCAGGTCAAAGCGTCAGAGAGAGGTGTACCGTAATTCATACTCTGACTGACTCGTCATGGGTGAAACGTCCCTTGGGCACAATCCTCAGTGTTTACGACACTTGTGCTAAACAGGTCGGGTGAACTTATAGGTCTTTACGCTGCATGTTTAAACAGTTACTCTGTTCCTGTAATTCATCGTGACAGAAGGGAGAATCAGGTCGCATGATTGGACCCCACTGATTTAAAGTGAGTCCAGACCTTTTGTTACAGTCTTGTTGCTCTGTTGTGCAGCGTGCCATTCCTCCAGACTCCTCGGTCTGTTTAAACTGGTGTGCTTTACCTCACTTCGACACAATATGCGAAACCGATAGCTGAAGGACCGATTGATAGAAATCTGAGCCGCGATACTCAACGTGTCTTCACCTCATAGACTGCCGGACTTCCAGCAAGAATACACCGCTGTATCTTTGCCAATGAAAATCAGAATTTCTGAACACCATGTGAACCTTTCTTTGTCTCTCATATGTAATGGATTATTTAATGTTTTATATATGTATGACCATTATTTCAACTGTAGACATTTTGTTTTCACGGTTCTGTCTGGTGTTGCTGGTGTTTGTGTTTCATTCTCCTATACTCATGTTCAGCCCAGACCTTCCTACAGCCTTACACATTGAAATATGCATAGACCTTAAGTGCAGACGTCTGTTAAGCTTTTGATTATCTGTAAACTCCAGGTTGTTGCTGAAAGTAAAACCTCTGTTCCTTCTCTGCACTTTGTAAAGCTAAACGCTTCTGTCCCCCCCGAGCTTTATTATTTCACCCTTTTGTTTAATCCAGTTTAAAACATGATTTGATATGGAGATTTAATATGACTACATTAGATTGGGAATTTATGTCATGCTGCTTGGAAAAAAAATGTCTTTGTGTTGTAATTTTAAATCTTCATCAAAGAAGTAATGTTTTTTTTATATATTAAACTTTCAATAAAGTATAAAATGCAAAGTCTTGTTGCAGATCCTTTCTTTGGTG